CAATTCAGCCAATGGTTTCTCTCATGAGGTCAGAGGTCAAAGGACAAAAGGGCTCAGAGAGGTCAGGGGGAATGTTTTAATGGCAGATCAAATCCACACAATCATGTTCACTGCAGCGTCTCCTCCAGCTGATTCCCAGACACAGAATTCCTCTGAAACACGGCACCCATGTAAGAAAATACAGCATTTTTTACTTATATTTGGCAAATACAGAAGCAAACCAAAACACAGCTTATTCTCCACAAACAAAATACCCCAAAAAGGTACGATTGGAAATAAAAACCGACACCAAACATGAAATCTCCAATCCATCTGTTTCTCATGTCTGTTCATCTGCTAAAATATCTATAACGTTAACAGTCTGTACATCTACAGGGGCGCGGCGTCATCAAGACGCCCCAACAATTACATCAGGAAATAAGAACTTACTATCTGAAACTCACATTGTACGATTGAAGAAAATATGAGTCTAAAATAATCAGAAATAATACGACATGAGATACAAGGTACAACCAAATGATTTAGGTGTAGTTTTTGCTTTTTAAAAGGTGAGTTATGAGACAATAACACCGCAAATATTTCAGTGGTCACCAATCTCTGTCTTAACTTACCCGTATAGAGGCAAGCAGACAGACTTAACTCCAAACTTCAAGGCCCAGTGGACATACAGAAGGCACTTCTAATGAATTTAACGTTGTGAAGGCAACCCTTTTACGACATTTTTGGGGGTCTTGTCATTCCTTGTCATTGGAATTGGATATAAATGTAATATGCAATAAAACATTGGGGGTTTTTTTCCCCCAAAAGCCTTAGATGTCATCTTGTTTAAAGTCAACATAACATCAAAACCGACTATTTACTTTCTTAATGCACTGCAAAAATGATTTTCTTACTTAGTATTTTGTCTTAATTTAGTCATTTTCCAGTACAAAACATTCTTAAATTAAGATATATTTAGCAAAATTAGTCTTGTTTTCTGAACAAAGTACCAAAATTAAGAGTTTTTACTTAAAACAAGAAAAATATCTGCCAGCGGGATCAGAAAAATAAACTTAAAAAAATAAAATAAAATTCGGACCCCTTTGGCAGATATTATTTTCTTGTATAAAGCAAAAACTCTTCATTTTGATTTTTTTACTCCGGAAACAAGACTTAATATCTTATGTTGCTTCTCAAGTAAATGTATCTTGATTTATGAATGTTTAGATATTTGCACTGGAAAACAAGACAAAAATACTGAGTACTAAAATCTTTTTTTTTTTTGCTACTCTAACAATTCACATTATTACAATGTTCATAATCTTTCGCCAACGCACAATAACGTGAAACGCACATAAAACGACTTAAGATCATGTTGCTCAGGTTATTGGTTAATAAAAAAAAAATATTTACACAATCAGATCCTTTTCACAATCCAATTCACAATAAATATCCATTTTCACTCTGAAACACATCACATTCTCAAGTAAAAAGGGTTGCAAACTCTTTCATGTTGACTTTAATTGGAGAAATTATGTTCTGGCATCATAATTAGTCTGTGTGAAATATATAAAACCAACAGAACACGCGACTAATGTACAAATCACATCAACTCTGCTGTAGAATTGAGCTGCGAAACTCCAACGACCATTCGATTTGTTCGCAGGTTTGGCTGAAAACACGTTACGAAGATCCCAGTTCAGCCACACAGACAAAGACTAAAGAAAAGGTCAATAAATTAAACCAACCGGTCAAGGAATAACTCAACACCACCAAGCCATAGAGTTTAGTTTGGGTAGAAACCATTTTTAAATTGTTGTGAGTGAAAACAAGACTGTGAGGAGCAAACTTACAGATTAATATCTACTGTTTTCCAGTAAACAATGAATTTTCAATGTTTTGTCAACTGAACAATCGGCCAACAGTCTGAAGATCAATCACTCACAGCCTCATTTTCATTCACGTCATTTCAAGTTCACAATGCCAATTCAATTCAACTCAGCACATTTGCATGTTCCAGTAGCTCCCATCATCTACACAATGCACACCTGATGGCCATTCGAAGACTGAAATTAGCTCAACATCACCAGAAAATGTTGATGGGTTTGACGAGTAGGAGTAGTTTGACTTGTGCAATACTGGGTTGGATAGTTGGTAAATTCAGATCAAGTTTTCATTGTGAACTGACAAAATAATGACTTTCCATGTCTAATACGACAGCGCAAGTGCTGATATAAAACAATAAACTCTTAAAAATAAAGGTTTCAAAAGGGGGTGGTTTTTTTGGTTCCATTTTTGGTTCCCCAAAGAACCTTTCAATTATTTTTTCATAGTCTGTAGAACATGTTAATATTTCATTTTCATTATAAAGAACCTTTTGTGGAATGGAAAGATTCCATTGATGTTGAAGGTTCTTTAAGGAACCATCAATGCCAACAAAAACCTTTATTTTTTTTAAGTGTATCAGTGATATTGTGGATCCAAATGCACACACGGAAAACTCTGACACACTTTGACACCAAATAAAACTTTAAGAGGGACTAAAACTGGCAGGTTTTGACTCTTCTGTTGCATCCGTTGACATCAAAACAGCTAGAGACAAATACTGAGAGGTAGAAGTGAAGGGGATCAAGAATTGTGGGTACTTGTAATTTCATGGAAAGGTCAAGGTGATGTTTCAGGTCAAGGTCAAGGGGTTTGGGTAACAGAAGTATGGTAAATTACTTTACAGTAGTACAGTAGATGCAGCTCATGTGATGTCTCTCATACCATTCACGTGAAAATCACCAACTAAACACAAAAATGATAAGAAACGGTAGCTTTGAGTGTGATGGACTGGCCCAGTGGTTCTCAATTGCAGTCCTCGCGTACCACCGCTCTGCACATTTTGTATATCATTGAACAACTCGACCTGATAATTGAATCTTAAAGTGGTTGGGGACATGCCTTGTGTATAATGTGTCATTTATTATGGCTCCAGGAAGGAAAAGGACTTTAAGCAGTGAGGAAATGGCAGTATTCTACAAACACTTCTTGGACAAAAACATTACAAGGCATGCCAGTTATAACAGGTGAGATAAATACTCAAATTCTTATTATAATATAACAACACCTGTATACAATCTTCTACATGCCTTCTGCCCTCTGATTGATAATTATTTAACAAGTAAAAGGCTGTTTATTTGTTCATCTCTCAGTCATCACTGTATTACGTTGCATTATATGCTTTGCCCCCACAATAAAAACTACAGAACTTTGATCATTAAGCATTTAAATATCATCTTATTAAAACATATTATTGTAAGATATAGAGTGATGGCTGATATTTAAATGCATTTTATCTAAATAGTCTGCTATACTGTTAAAAAGATATCATTGTTTTACACTATAAGCTATCAGAATTGCATCTTACTTTTTAGCCATATAAATATCAGCAACTGCGGCAAATTGCATAGTTTTGCTCAGTTTAGGCCTCTGAATAAAACTGAGGAGTTTTTCTCCTCCTTAAGTATGAGCTCTATATTCTTCTATATCAGTGGTTCTCAATTCCAGTCCTCGCGTACCACCGCTCTGCACATTTTGTATGCATCTCTTATCACTTCAGATGTTTGTTCTATTTGACCGCAAGTACCCTGTGAAGTGGACATCACCGGATATTCTGTCATGACTCCAGTTCGAAGAGACCGTATATGTTCCACTCATAGGGCATTAAAGTGTGCGAGACGTGAATTTAAATTGCATTGCATCACTTGGTCCGCAATGGATCCTCTGCAGTGAATGGGTGCCGTCAGTGAACACTGTGTTCATGCATGGAGCTCTCTTCTAACGAGCTGGTTATTTGAATCAGGTGTGCTAAATAAGAGACATGCAAAATATGCAGAGCGGTGGTACTCGAGGACTGGAATTGAGAACCACTGGACTAGACAATATAAACCTAAAAACTCAAGCACTGAGAGTGGAAACCTGGGAGAGGGTGAAATCTCTCTGCTTACTTCTATAAGGAACCTTAGTGTACGTATGAAACCAACAATAAAAAAGCAGTCTAAAGTTGATGTCTGACATCTCCAGGAACACACTGAAAAGGTCTTTTCAATCTGAAATTGTTGGAATTACCACAACTATAAGTTTCTGATGAGTGTATTAACATCAAGTTTGTTTGTTCATGGAGAAATGTAGCATTGCATCACTTGCTGACCAATGGATCCTCTGCAGTGAATGGGTGCCGTCAGATTGAGAGTCCAAACAGCTGATAAAAACATCACAATAATCCACACCACTCCAGTCCATCAGTTAATGACTTGAGAAGAGAAAAGCTGAAACAAATCCATCATTATCCACCATAATAACGCTTCCTCCAGTGAAAACCAGTGGTCTGGTCTGAATCAGGACAGAAATCTGAACAGATCAAGCACCGTTTACAAGCCAAACCAGTTCTAAACAAATATGTGGCTGGATTTTGATGTGAGAGAACAACAGGAGATGGACTTTTTCACTGGAGGAAGAGTTATTATGGATATTAGCCAGAAGCGTCAGTTAAAGTTAAAACGTCTTAATGCTGGATTTGTTTCAGCTTTTGTCTTCTCCAGATGTTAACTGATGGACTGGAGTGCTGTGGATTATTGTGATGTTTTTATCAGCTGTTTGGACTCTCATTCTGACGGCACCCATTCATTGCAGAGCATCCATTGCTGAGACACTGATGCAATGCTACATTTCTCCAAATCTGATGAAGAAACAAACTCATCCTAATCTTGGATGGCCTGAGAGTGAGTAGGTTTTCAACAAATTTTCATTTTTTGCGAAGTAATCCTTTAAAAACAGGCGTTACAACAAGCGCTGGCGGAGAAAAAAATTATTCTCAAGTCTCAATCATCTCAATTACAGTAATTCCAACACGACAAATGCAGCATTTATCCTGGATCAAGACCCCCTTAAGATGAGTAAAATGCTAGAACACTTGCACAAAGAATAACCCGCACAATCCCTGTTGAAAGCACTCACTGGAAGTGACGTACATGCCATAGATTGGGACTTTTTAATGTTTCAACGGTAAAACACAAACTAGTCTGGAATATTGCTTTGCGGCAGCTATTTACAGAACTGCAAAACAAACGAATAAAAAAAGTAGTCACAAACAAATCTGATCTACACACATTCAGCTCACATTCGTCCTTGTTTTATGAGTGGTCCTCTTCCAAAACAACAATAAAAATTAAAAAAAAATCTGTAAACAAACAATTACACTTTATTTGTCGTTTCAATGATAGCAATCCGTCATTTTTGTGGAATCATCTCTGCTTAGCCTCATGATCATTCGTGTTTACCCTTTATAACCCTTAAATTCAGTCCCGCTGGAATCAGCTGCTCCCAAAGAACAACGACATTCCCAGTGGATTCAAGTAAACAGAATTTCTCACATTGTTTTCTCCATTATTTTATTCCTCAGGGAAAGGACACCCTCTTCTGTTTGTTTCGTAAGTGCTTTCCGACCGCTCTCTCTCGCTCTCTCTCGGTCAAAGCGCAAACCTCATTTTCATCTCAGGGAACAAAGAAAACCAACGAGAAATCAAAGCGGACAAAGATTTGGGTTTCTGTTTTCCAATCCTTCCTTGCAATGCAATGAACCTGTGATCTGTGGCCCCTAAAGAGTAATTTTTTTTTTTTCGTTTTAAACACACACACACACAACAGAATGAACATTTGTTTGGAAGCAAGGTCTCCTGGTGGCAAGTCACAAATTTTTCAGAGGTCACATTTTCCCCACGTGTTGGATGATTTGTTATCCTTCTATACTTTTGTCGTTGTTGTTTTTTTGTGTGTCTAGTCCTGCTTGGCTTGGAGCTGCTGCTTCCAGGCCTCGTTCAAGTAAACCAGTCGCTTGTAGTTGAGCACAAACAGGATGAAGTTCAGTGCGTATGTGGTGACGCAGATGAAGCAGAAGTCCTTAAGGACGAAGTAGAGGGTTAATGCACTGAAGAACAACACCAAAAAGAGCACTGCAGAGAGTTCACTACCACAGCAACTGCATCAAATATACATGAATACACCTCAGAGGTACAAGTAGTGGCGTAAAAAATGATGCAGCCATTTTTCTTTTAGTACTATTCAGCATTAAAAAGCTATAT